GCTGACTTACTTCATTTAGTATGATAATCTCTAGGTCTATCTATGTTGCTGCAAATGACATTATTACAATATTTCACTCTTTTTTATGGCTGAGTAATACATATATGTATCACATCTTCTTTATCCATTCATCAGTTGATGGACACTTAGGTTGCTTCCATGTTTTGCCTATTGTAAATAGATGAGATAGAGTCTCTTAATATCTTTATTTTATTGATGAGGAAACAGGCATAAGAGATTTAAGCAAGGTGACACAGCTAATAAATGATGTGCTGGGATTAAATTACTTCTCTTGTGTTGGCATATGAGGATTATACCAAGGATGCAAGAATAGATTATCATTCAAAAACTACTGCTTCATAACATTAATAGACTAAGAATATTATTTATTTCAATAGAGGCAAGGAAAGCATTGACAAGGTAAAGTATACATTTTTGATGAAATATCTCAGCAAATTATGAATAGAAGGCTGTTTTCTCAACCTGATAAAGGCATCAATGATGAGGCCACAGCTAATGTTTTATGCCTTAGAAATTTAAAATGGAAAAACCTTTAAAATATCTATTAATTCAATTAGAAACAAAGTCATAAATATAATAACATGTTAACCTTGACACATTGTTATGAAAACAACTGTATTTTCTCAAAAAATTAGAAGAGTGGCATTGTTTTAACATTTTTGGGTAAACCTCTTAATGTCTAAAAATAGCTGGATTCTCATATCTGCTTTAAAAAAATGTTTATTTATTTATTTTTTTTGTGGGAGGAGGTAATTAGGTTTATTTATTTATTTATTTTAATGGAGGTACTGGGGATTGAACCCAGGACCTCATGCATGCTGGCTAGGCATGCACTCTACCACTGAGCTATACCCTACCCTCCATATCTGCTTTTGCATTCAATCTGTTGCAAATGGTAGTTTTGGTTGAAAAATATGAAGAAAATCCAGCCTCGCCCAGATATGCAGCTGGAAAAGGGAGAAGCATTTTAGTAGCCTTTTGATGGTGTGGATATATTTCTTTAATTAAACAGCAAAACTTGCAAGTAGTAATTTGTTAAAGATTAGTTGCAGTGTGAAATCTGGAACTGTATCAATGAACCACTGTACTCTGTTTCATCAAAATCCATTAGTCTATCTTGCACTTTGAATGAATATTCTTACCCAAGCATGATTATGTAACATTGTGCTTTGGCCATGTGGAAAAATTGTTTTGCTGATTTACACAGATCTTCCAAATTTTGACTTATTTCATTATATAATATCAAAACCCCGCATACTTTTTTGTATCACCACCAAGCTCATCAGAAAAGTCTTGAAGTCCTGAGAAGCAGTCCAGCTCACAGCAGAAATCATCCTGATTGACAAGTTTTCTTCAAATTCAGATTTTAGCTTGAAGGTTCAAATTTTATCATTGACTACAGTACTGTCAGTTGCTATCCTTGAAGTGACAGGCTCATTCTTGTTCCTTTTTGAGAAAGTGCCTGCCAAAGACGAGGTCTGAAGTTTGTCAGGCACTCTTTTGATTAGAAATAGTATTCCATGAAAAAAGTGGCTAGTTCAGTGTGAGACTCTGAGAACTGTACATGCGCTTTTTCTCAAGACAGTTCAAAGTGCCATAGAAATGACTTATGCCTACTTTTCGTTCATTACCTCTAATAGTAGCAAAATGTTCTGTTCTCAAGGGTCAAGATTTAATAATTTCATGGCTCTACTAAAAACACTATAAAGTGAAACTGGATCTTTTTTTTTTCCTGTTATGCATAGTTGTGAAGACTACAGTTACTATGAGTAGGGTTTGTCTTGATTCATGCTAAGGCACCATTAGTTTTCATCACCATTGCTTTTGTGCCATCAGTGAAAAAGTCAAATGACATCTTACTATTATGATAGAATTAATTTTGACTTTGTAGCTTCCCTGAAAGGGTCTTAGAGACCCCAGACCACACTTTTAGGACTTCTACTCGAACTTACAGTTGATTCTGGAAGCAGACCAACCTGCTTCCAATAAACTCCCTTTTTCTGAAATCAGCCCAAGTTGGTTTCTGTTGTCTGTCACCAGTGTTCCATGTTAAAAATGTCTTTGTTTATGGTTTGGGTTAATTTAAAATGTTTAAGCAACTCTAATTTAGGGCAGTTTATAAGTTAATTCTTTGTTGTGATGATTTGCACAGCAAATAAACAGGAAAAGTGAAAGATTCTGAAGTTTCACTTAACTAAAAAAAAAAATCTAACACTTATGCTTCCTACTTTCTTGGTGTTAAGTCAATATTAAACAGTTGAGCAAGTCTACCACAGTCCATGAATTGTGGCAAAAGAAAGACAAGGATACTAATGTTTTCTTCTTTCTTCTGCATGCTTCCAGTGACTTTACTGAGCTAAGTATGATTGTCCTCATTTTAGACGTTAAAAAGACTTGGATTCTGTGGTTAGTCTGTGGTCAAGGCCACTCAGTGGTCAAACCTCTCATCCTGGCTGAGAAGCTCTAAAGCCCAGGACCTATTTACCATGGCATGAATTTCTAATGAGGACTAAAATATGATCCCGTGATGTCTGAAGTTTATGCCTTAGAGGGCAGTGCTGCAAATGCATGGACGCCAGCAGTGGTTCTTTAAGAAATTTCTTTTCTGAATTCTATCATGATAATATGATAATACTGGCTTTTTACCAATGTAACATTTTTGACATACCGTAAAGTGGCATTTTCGAGTTGGAAGAGACCTAAATCATGTGATCTCTCCAGATTTCTTACCACTAAGGCAAGCTGGACTATTCAATGTGCATTTCAAATAGTACCTCCTGGGTGATGACTTCTGATAAGCTGATTATTGTTCATCCTACTATATCAAAATGTATCACACTGTATGTGGCAGACACCTTCTTAGATGCTCCAGTAAATCCTGCTTCCTGATTTTCACACCCTTGTACCCTCCCCTTTCCCTGAGTGCAGATGAGATCTCTGACTTGCTTCTAACCAACAGAATATAGACAGCGTAGGTGTTGGCATGTCACTTCTGTGATCAGGTTTCCTAAGATAGTGACTTCTGTCATACTCAGAGAGTCTCCCTGTTGGCGTCTAGACTTGCACATACTGATGAGGACAGCTGCCATGCTGGAAAGGTCCACGTGGCAAGACATCCTTGAGCCAATAGCCAGTGGGGAACTGAGGCTCTCAGTCCAACAGCCCATGAAGAGCTGAATCTGGTCAGTGACCACTGATTGAGCTTGGAAGCAGATCTGTCCTCAGGTAAGCATTCGGATGAGCCTCCCAGCCCCAGATGATACCTTGACTGCACCTTTGTGAGAGACCCTGAAACAGAGGATGCTGCTATATGCTCAGATTCCTAAACTACAGAAATTGATATAATTTATGTGTGTTTTAAGCCACAAAGATTTGGGATAATTTGTTAGGCAGCAATAACTAACTAATACACTGTACTATCTTTATTTATCTGCCACTTTCTCTAGTAGGATCAGGAGTGAGTTGTTAAGGTCACTGAGTAGTTGTCATGTGTGTTTACCTGTTTACCTGCCACTGAAGAGCTTCCTGCCAGGATCCATCTTCATGTTGAAAAGTGGAACTTGAGGACCTCAGTGTAGTTCCTAGTGCTCCAGGAAAGCCCTCTATGCCCTCCATCAGTTCCCACCTTTGGGCCTCACACTAGAACCTCCATAATTGTCTTTGTTCACTGAAGCATAATTTAGCTTACAAACCAGAGGCAGCAAGGCAGTTGTACCCTGGGGTCTGAAACTTCAATCCGGGAGGGAGACTGTTAATTCTGTGAATGCAGAAACACACATCCTAATCCAGTTCATAAGCAGAGGCGCAAAATGTCTGAAAAATTGAAGCCATGAAATAAACTCTTTTTGAGAAAAAGAAGGAAATTGAAGGTATATTGAAACATATGCACTGCACAGGGAATTGGGCAACCCACTTCATTCACTCTCGAGGCACTAGTTTCTGAAAACTGTAAAATGGAGGTTTACGCCAGGTTGCATAGTCTTTTGATTCTTAGTCTGACACAATCTGGGTTGCTGTGAGCCAGCTCTCTGGGTCCTAAATCAACCATTAAAGGAGGATAACAGAGATACCTGTCTCCTAAGGGAGTCGTAGATAAATAGAAATCGATAAAAAACGCAATGTGCAGCATGGCACCTGGCCATCATTACTTCTCCAAG